CTCATACTTGACTGCGTCGCTCCACTATCCGCACAAAGCGGAACACTCAACACACCTTCAAGCAGTACTGTACCGCCTTCTGGTGGAAGACACTCGCGGATACGACAGGCCTTAATTGCGTCATCGTTGCTGCTGCTGCCCGTCTTTTTTCCTCGACAGATATTCTTCACGTCTTTTGGCTCGGATTGCAGCTTTGTCGGCATCGGTTGCCGTGGGGCAGTTGATAAATTCGTGCTCTTCGCCACAATGAAAACACTTTTTGGTATTCGGTGGACGGGCGAACTTACGCTGCTTGTTAGACCTCGGCGGGACATCGGCGCTTCGCTTTGCTCCAACCGTAACACCAAACGTGGTAATCACTGGCTTTTTACCAAACGACTTCGTAGAGTTCTTCGTACTGAAGCTTTTGCCTTGCTTTGCAACTCTGGCATTCATCTGCCTCGCAGATTCGTCTGCCTTGTGCAGTTCCAGAGCAAAATCATTCACCAAAGCAAATAATTTTCTCACAGAGGCCTTTGCTTCACCGCTGCGAAATTCCAGTTCATTTTTAACCTTTTTTTTTAAGGCCCAGGCAGGAGCTTCATCAACACCTTACACTTGCGTTTGACACCTTCTTCGCCCAAGAAAAGGTCTTTCACACCGTTGCGTTTGATAATCTCATTCGCAAGATGAAAATACGCAGTAACACGACCTTCAATATCCGAGCGTGACATGTCAAACTTCAGTTCTGCACTAAAGAGCGCATCCATGTCAGGCAACTCTCTGTTCTTGAAACTCGCGGTTATCTCCGTAATCTTGGTCATGAGGAATTCGTCCGTCAAATTATCCAGGTCCACGTCCCAACGTGTCTCGCACATAGTCTCCAATAGGTTCTCATCAAACGAATTGCGCACTGAGCGCAGAACAGCCTTCACGTCCTCGTTACCGGCCTTGCATCTCGCCTCAGTGACGGCTACGTACTCCTTCCGGAACTTAAGCCAATCCAACAGGGCTTCACGCGACACATCGGTGATCAACGGCGCGTTCACGATAGCGAAAATTGGCTGCGGAGCTCGTGGTACAGATGGCTGTACCACCACCGGAACGCTGACACTTGCATCGTCTTCGATTTGCATCTTGGCGGCGCTCTCCTGGTTAGCTTGCTGACTCGACGTCATGATTCTTGTTTCCGTTCAAAGTTACTACCTTCGCAACTAAAGATATCTTTGTAGTGGGTATCGAAACTCGAACACACACGAGGGAAGCTGGCGCTTCCTTTTAGCCTTGATCTATTGCTTGCTTTGAGGTAAAACTCAAACTCCCTGACTAAACTTATCACTACGGCTTATCGGTACGTGATGTCACGTCCTCGACTATACCTTATAGCTCTCGACTATACCTTACTACTTCCTATGCCAGCTTGGCCGCACGTTCTGTGCGGCCCAGTGCAGTGGGCAAGGCTTGGTCACCAATGCACCAACCACTACAGTCACCCACCTCCAAATGTTCAGTGGAGTTTAAAGTGGCCGAGCAGAAATTGTTTTGAGAATTCCCGGGGTATACCACTTGAACGGACCTGCCATTCTTCATAATCTGAACATACTGATTGGGCGCAGCAATAGTGCTCACAATAACGCTAATGTTGTAAACACCCCCACGAATAGTTGTAATTCTTCCATCTTTTCCGGTCGAGACAAATTCATCGGAGTGCAATTCCGGCTACCAGCATAAATCCAAGCTCCCATCCTTCTTTAACGTTGTCAGCTTTACGAACGGAGGTGATGCGTCAATTCCTCGGAGTTTTTCGACCTCATCCTGCAAGTCACGCACTTTCGACTCCAAAATATAAATCCGCTCTTCTGGAACAGGTTCGAGATGAAACACGTATTTTGTCGTCTTCGTCGAATATAGGTTACGAATCGTGACAGCCAACTCCAGTCGGACTACTCCTCCCCGAAATAAATACAAATTGCGACGGACATCACTAACGTCGGTGGGGCCCTCCAGTGCGTCTCGGAAATACTATACCTGGTTAGCCCTTCCCATACAAAGATTTTAAGCAGTCAAAAGCACCTCGAAGTAGTCAGCAGCCGATGTATCTGGGATAGCGTTGTCAGGCAAAACATAGTCACTTTTGACCATATTGCCCTTGAACCTGCGTAGAACAAGACAGCGCATTCTTTAGGAATACTCACAACCCTACTGAAGACTCTGACCATCGCTTCTTGGAGCTTCGGTCCTCCATTGAAATACTGATTGTAGAGTTTTTCAGCTCGATCACGTAGCGGTAGGATACCATGGGCTGCGACGCAAATGCGGTGATACCGTCCACGCAAATATCCATCAGACGACCTGCAAAATTTTGCAGATTCCCAAGTGAACCTTCCATTTACCTTTTAGTATCTGATTCGTACTTAGGTTCGTAAGCATCAATTTGTCTGAGGCGAGCAAGGAAAAAATATCAATTAGTCCCAGGTTAAACGAATAGTGACACGTTTTAGAACTCAATTTTGTGCAATTCGTTTCGCTCGAAAGAATCGTAGCGAAAAAACATTTGGACCACTGAGTTTAAATCCCTCCAGCAAAAGTGGACTTGCTGTTGCTCGTGTTCAACAGCGAGGGCCGAGAAGTTGATAGCAGCACGATAAAACGCGAAACAGAAGAGACACGAACGGAAAGTGCGCTGGGCTAGTGGAAGTGGAGGTTTCCTGAGAGCCTGTGGACACCAGGGGTTCCGAAAATGTTATTTTTATTAAATATATATTTTATTTTGCAGTAAAATAATTTATTTTCGAGCTCCCATTTCAAAATCAAATAATTTATTCTGCGGTCGCTCCAGGCAATAACCTTTAACCGGGCTGATGAAGCCCTACAGACCAGCGGTCCAGCCAAACCGCAATCTACGATCGATCTGCCGCGCTCTTGTCCTCTCATTTTGATGGTTGGTCGCTGAACTGAGCGTACTGGAACGCTGCCACAGTCCGGAAGGTTGTGCGTGGTGAGGCCCCCACCAACTAGACGAGTATCAGCCCACTGTATATTGCATGCAATAACACCAATAATTTTTGCACCCGTGGTGCTCCAAGCACTTAAAATTATTTTTATTGCTGTTTTGCCAGTCTCAATAAAAATAACATTTTCGGAACCTCTGGTGGACACCCTACTGCATAATGTTCCGGCCAAGGTAGCATGGCGACAAGGTGCTGAAGCTGCAAGAGCTGTAGTCTTGCAGCAAATAGGGGTTTCAGCTGCACGATCACGGTCGGCTGCATTTGCACTTTAGTGAAGCCAGCATACTTAAGTCAGACATTCAAATAAAACAAGCACTGTATCGACACACCATACCATTGCTTCTGGCTCGTTCGTCAAACCTCAGATTGCCCTGTTGAGGGTGGTGGGGAAATACAAGAAATCCAAACTCGTTGACTCGCAGATAGATCTTAAAAAACGCGATGTTGCTTTCGCTCTAAGAAGATGTGGTGTGCACAGAAGAAGTTTAGGGTGGACTGAATTGTGGGAATTTACTGGGAAGCATAGAACACGCCCGCTTTTAAGAAATAGTTTTCTAAATTAAAGAACACCTAATTTGACGAACTAGATTTATTCATTTCTAATTAGCTGACTTGGGTGGTGCGTCCGCTTGCGATCTCATGGCGGCGTCGCGACCTGGACCTGTCTGTGGCGCTGCGCTCGATGGTATTCGTGAACGAGACGGTATCGTTGCCGCCGAGGCAGTTGGTGTCTGTGGCTTTGGATCGCGCGTCTGCGTTGCTGGTCGGCGCTCTGGACGTGCAGAGCGTGAGCATGGCTAGCCTGGCAGTTCCTCGTTGGAGCGACTTCGTGCTGCTGCACCGCGTGAAGAATGGTGGTGAATGGCAAGTGTCGGGCGAGTTGCAGTCGAGCGATGCGAGGTGGCTGAAGACTGCGGAGGTGGTTCTGGCGCCGCGCACGGCCAAGTCTCAGGCTAGCCAAGTCTCGGTGTAAACGAACGTGACACTGGTGGACGCGGTGTCGTCGCAATCCGTGGTGGTGGAGGTCTCTCACTTGGTCCGGAGCATACCGGACCCTCGGTCTCTGGTGTCGACTGCACTGCTGCAGCCGATCGTGGTGGAGAACCGGGAGGACGAGCCTGCGTTGGTTTCGATGGCGGACTTGGGCGCGTTGGTCCGCCAACGCGACTGCAAAATGAGTTAAACTGTGTGGCAGTGGGGGCTGTAGCGGGCGTATTTTCAATTCGTATACTAAAACAAAGTGTAGTGGTTACGGGGTAGTGTTCAATTGGGCGGGAAAGCGGGCTTGTTTCCTGGTGAGTCTCGCACCAAATCAATAAGTGCCAATAATGTGGTACACACATGTAACATTGTTTGTTCAAATTTAATTTTATTTTCAGATTTAGAATTAATCTGTCAGATTTAGAAAAGCGGGTGTGTTCTATGGGAGAGCCTTCTGGTATGCTTGATCAGAAAATAGGTCGATCTAAAAGGCATAATTAGTCAGAGCATGGCAAACTGTAAATTTAGAGCGAACGCACATTTCTGCTTTTTTTTTTTTTGTCATCGAGAAACGAGGATTTACAATGGTAGGATTTGGACTAACGGATTTCATCGTTTATTATACTGTGACGCGAAGTCATATATGATACTCCGATTAATCTCGACACTAATTTTGCTCTTGGTTGCTTTCTCGTGAATGCCGTGACCTACACCGATGACAAAGCTGTTTATCCTGTGTTAAAAAAGGCAAGTTAAAATGTACTGGAGAGTGCGATGTTCGATTCGCTGGTGGGCTGCTTCACGCGCACCCCGCGCGGGTTTAATGTGGCTACGCGCCTCGAGCCCGCTTGCGACCTATCGCATCTCTGAAACGCTATAAGAAGCTCCTATAGCCTACATGTATTAGGAACACGCTTATGTAAATCACCTCGGCAAGTGTACCCATCGAACTATGGAACGCCGTTACACGCAATGACGTTGTTTTGCCACCAGTCACGGATACTTTCCACCCTCACTCTGTGGAAGGCGCTCAGCCCAAAGAAGTATCAGAACCACCGCGATGAAGAAGTCGCAGCTCTCCAAGCAAGACTCGACCCGCTGGCTGCAGACGCTGGTGGCGCTACTCATGACCATCGGCGTCTTTTCTGTCATATGGGAAGTCATGACACTACACACACAACGATCGTTCCTTGAGACTTTTGACGAATTGGAGCCACACGTATCTTCAGACGACTTGCTGCATCTCAACTATCTCCAAACGGGGTGTCGTGTGGAGAATAACACTATATTCCCATGGGTCTACGCTTCTCCAGGCAACAGTGCGGATCTCCCCGCCCCTCGTGCCCAATCCAGCACGTCGCTACTGCATCGGGGCGATCCTCGACTAGTCGACGAACTACGTCAATGTCCAGACGTGGATATCTACCTCCCATCGTCCGTACGAGGGCCTGCTGGTTGTGCTGCTGCAGCTGGACCACTTAAATTCTTACAGTCTCGACTGCTACCAGATTGGGTATTCAACGTTGAAGTATACGACATCAACTCGCGACACAAGACCAGCTACCTCACGTTGTGTCCGGATACGCCTATGCTGTTCCTAGCTCCCGATCATGTTTTATCACTGACGAAACATCCGTCGTGGCCGTCGACTAAGCCAGTATATCTCATGGCGCCAGGTCTAGATCTAAAATCTACATCGACAAATCCAAATCAGTTCACTCAATCGGTTCTAAAACTTACCGACGTTATTCTGTGTCGTACAAAACGCTGCGATCAAGATTTGAAACTGTTTTTAGAACGTCTAAACAGCAACAAGAAACCTCGCGTCATCTACACAGGTCAAGTGACTTCTGACCCGTCCAACTTGGTTCGTCGGGTGCTTGGAGATGGTGCAGCACGAGAGAGGAATATGACGAGCTTTGCGAGTCCCCGTTTCGCTCATACAACGTGGAATATCTCGTCAAAGACAACACAAGACGTGATGAACTGTTGGAGTTCGCATCAGAAAGAACTTTCGCCGTTGGATGTGTATCTACTGAGAGAATACAAAGACAACAAACCGACTGAGGGAGAGAGATTGTACAAACCGTTCCCAGCTACTGACGACACCAAGATACAGATTCTAGATCCTGTCAGATTCGCCAGATCGTTCGGTAACAGCAGCTTCTTCATCTGTCCAACTGCAAGTGACGATTGCCTCGACCTCGCTCGAGCTTCAGGTGGCGTTATCGTGACAGCGGATGGGTATCCGATGAATGAACTGGTCTCGGCTTCAGAAGCCATTTTCGTTCCTACTGAGCAGACTTCTCAAGCTGAAGAGCGTATAGATAACGCACTACTGCTGCCACCGCCACCTGTTGACTACCGCAGCTCCGATCTCTGCGATACGATTCTAAAGGTACACACATCGACGTCACTGAATGACCGTGTGGCACTTGGAATACAGGCACGACGCCACTTCAATGAGGACGCAAAGTTCTTTTTGCTGCGTATGATGGAGCTGCGAGCGTTGGCACGTCACCAACAGCTCCAAGACTAGGACGTGAACCTTCGTCGCCTCATCTAAAAAGCTAGTTCCTGCTCCAACACTAGCACAATACACACTCGAATACCTGCATCTGTGCCAACTCCATATTTCTGTCGTGTCCAGCCTTCACATTTGAAGTGTTGTCTATCTACAGCTGCAATGCTGTTGCCTTCTAGCAAGTCATCAATGAAGCTCATTAAGTATGAGGATTACTTCTTGCCAAGCATCCGGAGCACGTTCTTGCGGATCTGTCCCTGCACGAACACAGGCTTGCCGAGTCGACGAATGCGCTCACGAGTCTTCTTGGTGGCAATGTGGCGCTTGTTGGCCTGCGCGCGCTTGACGAGCCCGTTGCAGTTGACTTTGAAGCGTTTCTTAACCGCAGCCTTAGTCTTGAGCTTGTAGCCCATGGCACGCACCTGCAGCTGAGGAAAGGCGACAGCGGTACGCATGGCCAACGTGGATGTAACCATTGAGGAAGCGCTAGGAGCCGAAATTACGGCAGCGAAGCGCGGCGCTTGGGCGACGGCGGGCTGTGCAACGGAAATAGTCTTAAACTGGCGAGCGAGGGACCTGAGAGAAGAATAATTGGTGACTTAGAAGAGAAATAATAGGTGCACAAGATGGTGCGCGATAGTAGCGTGGAAGAGCGTTCGAATAGGAGATATAGGCAGAGGAAGCGTACCGGAAGAGCGCCATGACGAGCTTATTGACGAGCGGTCTCCAATGGACGAGCTACGGGATCATTATTGGTGTCGGATTGGATGATATTCGAATCAATTTTGTCGTTTAATTGGTAGAAAAAAGGTGACCATCGTTCCCTGGGATTACAGACCTAGTCAGTGTCACACTTGATCGTTCTATCACAGAAATTCCAGCAAATTCTGCCTGCGTCAATAAAGCCAGGGTTAAAGGTAAGAACGCACGTCAACTTGATCATTCCGCAACAGTTCACCAAGTTAGGACTGCATCACTCTCCCTCACTTCTCTACAGCCTCATTCAAGTATGGACATCGGTGCGCACTGTTCCGTCCCTGCCTGCCACCAGCAGGACTTCCTTCCGTTCACGTGCGACTGCTGCAGTGGCGTCTTCTGCCTCGAACACCGCAGCTATGACTCTCACGAATGCCCCAAAGCCGGCAGCAACGATCGTCGCGTAGTACAGTGCCCCGTGTGTAAGCAGATGATTCGCTGGACAGCCGAACAAGACGTCAACGCTATGTGGGAGGAGCATGTGCGTGTGGGTCAATGCACACGTGAGAAGTTTAAACAGCAGCAAGGTAAACAGCAGAAAAAGCCCAAGAAGAAACGCTGCGCCGCTGAGAACTGCCGAGAGGTTCTGCTCACTTCCAATCAGTTCCACTGCAATAAATGTGCTCAGGACGTGTGTCTTAAGCATAGATTCGAGGCCGATCACGACTGCGAGAGCAAGCGACAGGCTCAAAGACAGCAATGGCTCGGTGGATTTAAAGCCAGAAGCCTTAGCTCAGCTAAACCGAAGCAACCATCGCAATTTCAGAAGAACGCACAGAGCGCTGCAGCTTCCGTAGTAAGCGGTACCAAGTCGGCTGTGTCCTCTCTTGTACAGAATGCAAAGGCGGCCAGCAGTGCTGTTACTACCAGCTCCGAGGAGTGTCCTATGTGTCAGCAGAAGTTCGCGTATGTGAGCCAGCTCATTGCACACGTTAATCGTGCGCATCCCGACAATGCAGACTCCAGAAGATCAACAGCAGCAGCACAGCCTGTAGCCCGTGCAGCTCCAAGAGGAGGAGTACCTGCTGGCAGCGAGGTGTGTCCACAGTGCCACGCGATCTTCCCCAATGTGAACGCATTGATCCAGCATGCAGAGTCGGCACACACAAGAGCTGTCGCTACAGGTCAAGCCGGTGGAGACCAGGAGAAGTGCACGATGATGTAGAAAAGTGTCCAGACGACTAGCTAATGTCAATAAAAAATACTCTTGTTGCCACCCAATTAGTGCGAAAAAGCATTATGTCTTCAACGCGTGCTCAGCGGCGCTCGCCACTGTAATATATTAATTATATCTCCCACCGGTGCTACATGGTGAGTCGTCGGCTGTGCGTCACGTCTGTTGGGCGAGGGTCTCAGCCGGACTTGAAGAGCAGAATGGCCACTTGACCCAAGTAAAAGTAGATAAAGTGTTTCGTCTCGTGCGTCACGTATGATCCGAAGTTGCGGCCCACGATGCAGTGCCACGTGGGGTTGTATTTCTTGTCGAACTCCTTCTTGATGAAAGCGGCAATGTCCTTCTCGATGTTGTACTTCTCCAGCGCCTGGCTGGCACAGTCTACGGCGTCCTGCTGCATGTCCTCGTGCATGTCTGCGTTCTTGATCACGGCCTTGCGCTCCGACATGGCTACTTCTGTTTGTCGTGCGTCGATCTGTAGCTCCCGATCCAAGAGGCGAAAAGCTCGAATGTGCCTTCCCCCTTCGCGTATTTTGGCTCGAAACAGACGCTTCGTAAATTACCGAATAGATTCCCGAAACGACTCGGATCGAGAATTTTCCGTGCAAGTATTATACTGTGAAGCAAGTTATGTTGAAAACACTAAATCTGTGACGCGCGCATTAAAGCTGCGACGTGTGAGGCAACTGACCGAGCTAGTGAGCCATACGCGTTGAGCTCCTCGTCCACGGGGCGGTTGTGCATCTTAGCGGCATAATGGAAGTTGGAGATAGCACTCTTACGCGCCTTAGGTTGCGGACGCTGGCACTTGGAAGGCACAACATTGTAGCCGCCCTCGAGCACCGAAATAATGCGCCCGTCACAGCAACTGCAAAACAATATCAAGGTTAGCATCGCCAATGCTCTAGGCTAACCAAAACAGAAGCTTACTCTTCAGCAACAGCAGTGATTTGCTCTGTGATCCAGCCGTAGTCGTCCTCACTCAGGAAGTAGTAGAAGTCGTCGGCGTGTCCATCGAAACCAGCGGACAACATGATGAGATCCGGTTGGAACTTGGTTAACGCTGGTACAAGCTTCTTGGTCACAGTATCACGGAAAGCTTTCGATGATATCTCCATTAGGGATCGCTTTGCCTTTGACGACAACTTCAATCGCTCGTCCAGGTACTTGGGGCCGAGCACTTTAAGCGGGAGGTTGACGACGTTCTTGCTCTTTTCCAGCTCTGGAGAACAGCCATGTGGTCCCACACCCGAGCACGGATAGAAATTGTCGTCGTCGTACAAATGAATTGATGAGAAGAAGACGTTCTCCGGGTCTCTCTCATCACGCCACGGTTTGTACGAAGAGAACTGCACAGGTGCCCAGCTCGGTGGAAGTGGGTAGTTCTGCTTGTGCGGGATCAAATTCCGGATAACTTCTTCAGTACCGTTACCGTGATGAATATCAAAGTCCACAATAGCAACACGCTGGACATTCACACGCTTTCTTGTGGCCACCAACGTCTCTGAGGCCATGTTTGATACCGCTGGATGGGTGTAGTACGGGGTGTAATAGTTGCTCATGGCGTACGATGCGCCGATGCACACGTTGTTGATCAAACAGAAGCCACACGTGCACATTTCTGGACGGAGGTGGAACCCTTCGCCTTCGACGCATCCATTTGGACCCGCGTGGTGACCCGGTGGTCGCACAACGACAAACGCATTTCTAAACAAATCAGAAGACACGCCGCATAGTTTTAAGTATCAACTGAACACTGGTGATGCCCGATAAGGACGTACTTTGTCTCGTTACTGAGGACTTTATCGATCGCATGACACACTGCGCCTGCAGCCATACGAGCCGCCATGTAGCTGCTCTTGGAGATTGGTGAATCCATGTCGAAGCTGCCTCCAGATGGCTGATCTCCTACTCCAAAGCACTTCAGCGCGTGCTTCGTCTACACAAATTTATACACATTATTATCACTCACAAATTAGAGGAAAAGAAGTGCTTACCTGAAGCCATGCGTCGTATGTGAGCTCCTTGTCGCCTTTTTCCTTGTCGAAGAGCGTTCCGACCAGATATTTCTTACTCTGTTCTGGTAAATTACCACATGCACGTTCAAGATGTTGAATGTACTCGATCGTGTGTACACGCAAGATGTCGTTGAGTCGTGCAGGTCGCAGCTCGTTCAGGTTGGCCCACTTGAGATCTTTGAACCGGTCTTTGTGCAGCACGCCTTCTGGACCACCCAACACGCAGAGTCGTTGACGGCTCTCCTGATGTGAGTCGTTGTGGTGATCTAAGCACGTGGGTTGGTACACGAGTAATGTGCCTGTGGCTTCATTCTCAAGCTGCTGCAACAAATTACTTGCGAGTTTTGCCAGCATCGAGCTCTTGCCTCCAGTAAGGGTAGACAAGCAGCTGTCGGAGGCGGGTTCTCGGTCAGCCAAGGTCTTTCTCATTGCTATCAATGACTCTTGGCTTTGACGCTTCGGATTGAAGCGAATTTGCACTGGAGAGGGTGCCGGACGCTTGCGATGGACTTTCTCCTGGGTCATGGTGTTAAGGGGGATTGATATTTTCCCCTCTTGGACATAACGTTCCTGGTTGTCGAGGTATTCCATGTTTGAATAAGGCGGTTGGACGACCAGATGTGCGTCGTGAGCTGAGATCGGGTGCTCGATATCTCGCAGATTATTCGTCGCATCCACACGTGCATCATCGGTCTCTATGAGACTCACACTGGACATCCTATTCATGTCTGAGGTGCTGTGGTTACTTGCCAGGTAGTGGGGACCGTTGCTACGGTCTGTGCCGGTGCTACTAGTGTCACTACCCGAGGAACTTTCTGGGCTTGAGCTGAGTAGTGAGATGACGCTGTTGTGCATGTCGAAGTGCCTGGCTGCCTCCTTCTCCTGGGGTGAACGCATCATTGGTGGTGTATGCAGCGACAGCAGCGTGTGGACACTAAGACGGTCGTTCTCGGATTCAATTGGCGGCTCTGGCTCGAGGTCGAACTGCTCTTGGCTCTGGTTGTCATCGTCTCGTGAAGGACTGCACCAGATGGGTTTGTTGCCGCTTGCTTGCATGGTATGGTAAGGCTTGGGGTCTGGGAGTTGGCTAGCAGCAATTGGCTGTCTCACTGGATTCTTAGTCTTTGTGCTTTCTCAGACTGGAATCTTGGTCTTGCGTCTTGCAGCGGTCTTTGGAGAATGCCAACAGTGCATCATTTTCGCAGCTATCACATCGGTGTACACAAATTACACTTAAATAGCTTCAAATACCTGTGTAAGGCGATACGTTTTGCACATAGAACTGACAAAGCGCTACCCGGGTAGAAAAGGACACATTTAGTGTGGACGAATCTGCTCGACGTGCACCATGTCGTCAAAGAGTGCCGAGGCCACCAATGAATTCCAGTCTACTGAGCGCCGTGAAGCAGAAGCTATACAAGTGAGTGTATACAGCGGTGGATCAAATGATAACTTTTAGACGCATTTGCTTTGAAATTATCAACGCTGTGATTCTTCACAGGATGGTATTAATATCTTCTCCTAGGAAATACTACTGATATACCCACTTTACTTATTACTACTGTAGTATAAGTTAGAAAAGTATTATACTACAGTGGTACTTGGTCCGTCGAAGATTGTTTACATATTAGTACTCGAAGAACTAGTACCGACTCCAGTATATAAGGACAAAGTGCATGTGTTAATTAGCGAGCCCTGTAGATGTACTTCGCTCATTGTAAGAACATAATTTCTGGCAGTAGCACCACCCTCTAATTTTCTCCGCCATGCATGTAGCGTCTGCGGGATGTTTACGTTCGACCTTCTCTTCTCCACCACAATTTATAATACGCGGTCCATCTACACCGTGTCTTCCTCGTTTGTACGAAGTAAGGGGGTTTCACCACCGCGCGCGATTTCTCGCAGCTCCTTCATCTTAGAAGCGAAGAAGTTTAAGTCAATAAAGTATTGCGCTTTAGCTCGCGCTGCCATTGTCTCGCGCTCAGCAGGAGTCATCGTCAGCACCCTTTCAACAGCTTTGCATACCCCAACGCCATATAGATCGGCTGTAAACCCTTCAACGCCCTTTAAACCGTGCTCTCCCTCGTATTTCCCACCAAGCATTTGCTCTAGATGTGTCCAACGCTTGACTGGAATAAGCACACCAGACTCGGAAGTTAAAAACTCGTTCATTGGCGGCAAGTCGGTCGATATTATAACCGCGCCACTGGCACGTGCCTGGTTGATATAGTGGCCGTAGCCTTCCTGAAGACTCGTGCACATGAAGAAGGCAGACTCAGCAATCATCTTGCCGAATTCGTCGGCATTGGCGCGACCGACATGGATGTTCACTTGAGAGCCTTGAATCCTCTTTTCGTAGTGGTCTTTCAAGTTGCCATTGTATACATCCTCATGCATGTATACATGCAATGGCGGGAAATCTGGACGTCCCAACCAGCAGTTCAACACAGGTCTTGTTCCCTTTTGCACACTTGTACCGACTGCATGGATAAACTGGACGTCTGACCAGTTTTTCGGCTTGATTGAGGCCTCTCCAAGACGATTTCTGGCCAATGTTGCGACGTCTGACGATGTATGTCTTGTATACAACACCTTCGTGTTACGCGGGTTACCCTCTTGCTGGTACCACATCCGCACACGACGCGCACAGATAGCAGTCTTGCAGAGAACTACATCTACTCCCCAATAGTGCGCCGCTGTGAGCTCATACATTTCAATATTCGGCATAAGATACAGTGGTTTGGTCTTCGGCCAGTCGGGTGACTCGGGAATGCCGTCCCAGTAGTGGTTCAGGAAAATCATTGGCGTCTTCGGACACAAGTCGTGGTACGAGTATGTCTCGCCCGTCGTCTTGTCCGCGTATTTCATCTCGATCGCCCACGCTGGCAACATTCGTGACTCTAAAACTGCAGCAATAAGACAAACGACATCAGTATTAATTAAAAGAGCCACAGTATCATTTCCGACACCTACATTTAGTATAGGCGATCGAGTCCTCGCAGTAACCATGGCCTCGGATGCCCAGTGGGAGGAAAATGTCCACGTCGGGGCACTGACGTATCTTTTCGAGCAGATCCGGGTCGTCCTTGTCGATTAGCACGCTAGGCTTGGCTACCTTGCCATTTAATCCATAGGTCCAGGGCACGACGCTGTCTTTGTTAGTGAGACAGGCTTCGTGTAGCAGACTGAGGTGCACTAGATCGGCCTCGTCCGCTTCGTCCGCCCACTTGGAATCCATGATCTCTTCCGGATAGAAGCTCTCGCCCTCCTCGATTTCAGTGTGGAGGTAGTCAGTGGGCATGACACCGCTTCGTCGCAGCATGGACAGCTCCAGTAGCAGCAGCAGCGCTGCCAGCCCCATCGTTCCCATCAGGATCTGCGTCTGCGTGGGCATACGACCGAGTCTGCTCTGCGCATTGTAGACCTTATGGAACTCCTTCTTAGCCATCTTGCCGATCCACGCAGCACAGCTCGAGGCACCGCACTCCGTCTAGCAGTTTTTTTCCGAGCTTTTATGTTTCGAAATGATAGAAGCACTTTGACACAAACAAATGATTCGCCAAAATACATGTAATTGATCCAGCGGTTTTGACTGGACAACCACGTTTGGCCACATAAATTCCATGAAAGCACAGTAGAAAAAAAAATTACACATCAATATTTTTTTTGCATATTGCATTGTTGATTAACACACGGTAACCACCACACAAAGCCGGAAAAGGGGCCTTGTACGATAGAGTAAATCAATTTTGTGACAGTCATTCTGGTCAAAGCCTATTTTGGGCACAGATGCCGAAGAAGATTGCTCGAGAGAGCTCGCAGCGCAATGACCAAATCACTCGACATCATGATCCTCTATGACAGCTAGATTTTTTCACGGAAAAGGCATGTGCCACGATTTAGAGACTTGCCGGTGAAAGGCCGCTTCAAAGTAATAAAATCTTTAATGAACCCTGACCAAATTTTGTTTTAATTCCTAACCCTTACTTTTTAACTAAAAGCGGTCCAGAAATAAAAAGTTATTATTTCTGTACCGCTTATAAATCTTAGGCCGTGTTCGGTTTGCAGGGGCAAATCCAGCTTGTTCGAAAATAAGCTAGAGCTGTAGAACAGTCGTTTTGTTAAGTAAAATAAAGATAAAATTAGTGATCGTGTTCCATCAGAAAAAGGCTGGATTTGAAGGCGCAAAGCAGGACGATTCAAAATTCAACCCAGAGCTGAATTTTGAAACCAGTCGTTTGGAGCTATCCTGCTGGATGTCATTTTTTGTGTTTCTTAGCGGAATAAAGCTGGTTGAGACATTCCAGCTCTTTAATACCAATTACAGCTGGTTTTAGCTTAAATCGAACACGGCCTTAGGTAGCAAATCAGGCGTACCTATTCTTCAAAAGATCAAATGAATGACTGCTCCAATACCTTTTTTTTTTAATCTACTGTACTACTTTCAGAATTTAATTTTGACGTTAGTACTATACGCGAGTTTGCAGTAGCTACTATCTCAGTTTCTTTGTGATGTCCGCTGCTGTGTAGATGACTCGACACCATCTGCAATGCAGACTGCATTGTATGCAACGGAGCGTCTGAACATCTACCGAACATCGAAGCCGACTGCAAATTACAGTCTATCCTTCGTGATATAATCGTGCAAGTCGTTATAAGCCAATTGTGTCTTAGTATATAAGATGACAAAGTTCTGAGCCGCACGTAGCCGATGAAGTCTGAGTTATGTCGGGAGGAAATACCATCGGTCAGTAGAAAACTACTGATCTGTCCCCAACGCGGCGCAGAAAAGACGGCAATCAGTAGAAAATGATTAAGTTTGATCCGTACCTAACTCTAATCATAGCTACATTTCTGCTGCCTTCAGCAAAACCGCTTTTGCCCTAAGCGTACCATGCCTCGAAAGCCGCCTCCGAATTATGGGAGTTCTCCCTTCGTGGTAGATCTTTCTGACATCGCTACAGCTATAAGCATGGGTGTTTTGAGGGAAGACGCAAAAGTTGATACCTCAGACCGCTCCAGCCAAAAGTATGGGGGAGTATACGCGACGCGAACCAATATTGCAGACACTGAGTTTCCAACACAAAAAGCAGCAAGGGCAACATGTGACGATTTTGCAACGGTATGTGGATTCCAGTTGATTGTACAATCTTCGAGTGTGAAGCCAAACAACTCAGGAAACGCGAAGTACGTCTGCAAAAAACTAAATGGCATGGAGTTCTTTGATAAAGTTACCCCGGCAAAAGATCTAAGCTGCCCATTCTTCATCAATGTACACGGAAAGAATGGGGTATGGAAGATTACTCAAGCCAACTTCGCCCACAACCATCTCAAAAACATTGGATCTACTCAGAAACCACTCGCGGAGGGAAATATCCCTCGTGAAAAAAAGGCGAAAAGGAACCGGTCTGTCCGTGAAGCTCAACTATCGGCTGTAGTAGCACGTGAAATTCTGCCAGCTCATGCCAACTCAGCTTCAACTCTTTCAGGGAAAGCTGTGCAGAAGTTTTTTAAAGGGAAGGGCATCAATGTCAGCAAATCTTCGATTTCTAGGATCAAGCAGGACCTGGACGAAAAATTGCATGGAGATTTACTCGAGAGCTACCAAAAATTGAAGTCGTACTTGGAGCTTCTAAAAAGTAAGAATCCCGGTTCCTTGTGGCGATATGAGAGCGAGAGCGATGGCGTGACCTTCAAGCGTGCTTGCATTGTCCCGAACGCAGGCGCCCACATTGTGAGTATGACTAAAAATTTGATTAGTTTTGATGGCGCTCATTTACAGGAAGACATGAACAAGCGAGGGGTTTTTCTTGTTGCCACTACAAAGGACTACAACAATCATATCATACCTTTTGGGTTTGCTCTGGTACCAACCGAAAATTACGACAACTGGGTTTGGTTTTTGAGGGCAGTCAAAGATGCAATTAAAGTAGAGAGAATCACGATTTTGTCTGATCGTCAAAAGGGTCTTATTTCTGCAGTTGCCGAAGTTTTCCCATCCGCTGGACACCGCTTCTGCCTCCGCCATATCATGGATAATATCAACAGAGCCAACCATAGACTCTCTCTTCAAGACAGAGCAACAATCTGCTCTATCGCTCGTTCCGACTGTGAAAATGACTACAACTTGTACATGAACGAGTTGGAGATTTCGAATTCAGGAGCCGCAGAATACCTCACTAAGAAGACTGAGGTAATCACACCGAGCGGTACCGAACAGAGACTAGTGCTTCCCACTGAAAACTGGGTTAAGTATAAGTTCTTCGAGAAATTTGGCCTGTCAACATACGATGAAATTACTTCAAACATCTCCGAACAAGCCAATAATTGGATGGGGAAAGATCTGCGCAGCTCAAAACCGCTTGATGCGTTTAACCTGTATTGCTTTAAACTCGGCCAATTGATGTCTGATAAAAGAAATGAAGCAGCAGATTGTGCACTTGTGGAAATTGGGAGGACGAACAATTTCCCTGTGTACACGCGATTTGTGCAGCTACCAAACATGGTATGAGACTTGAAGAACTGTACGACGCACAACGGCTTTCAATTGGGCACTTCAAGGATACCTACACGTTTAAGTTTCTCCCGTGGCCAACGACAGAAAGCCTCGTAACCAATCCGCAGACAAAGATACCACAACTAGCACCGGAGCCCGAGCGAATTGGCAAAAGAGGTAAGAAACCGGGACCACATCCGAAACATGCACGTAAAAAAGCAAAAAATGCTTTGTAGGGACGACTTTTCCATTTACAATTCACCCAATAGGCTCAAACTTTAAGGAAACTAACGACACAAACAATTGCAATCGTTGCATGCTGATTAATAATTAAGGTATTTCTTTCCAATAGATTATCTTACTGATCCTCACTCTCAATAAATATCAGCAGCAAACGGACTGGGGAGTCAATCTCTGTGAGTAGATAGAGCTCTACTAACGTACCCTGAGAGTAACCAGTTGGATACGTCGTGTACCCAGCTACTTCAACGTCAACATGTTATTTCTGTGTACTATTTTTTAGCTGCTCAAAACGCCTTTATTTATATGGTTGTTTTTGTGGAGTGCACTTCGGTGGCATTCGCCATTTTGGTCGATGCCTCCGCTCAACCCCCGACAGCGTCACGCCCGAACGATCCAGCGACGTCTGGACAGCTCCTTTTGGCAGCTTCGTCTAAGCAGAGAAGCTAGCATACCGAAAGAAGTCGACCGAGAGCTGGACGCCGAGCGTGCATCGTCCATAGGTGGTGGGTTACGTGACGTTGTCAGTAGAGGAGGAGGTCTTTTTGCAAACGAGCGCCGAGCTCGTAGAGGAGACAATGCTTAGCTCTTCGAGGTAGAAAGAATATACGCCAAACGGTGGGTCAATAACTTCGTATACTACCTTATTCAATGGGTGGGGTACACAGAGTTGACGTGGGAGCCAAGTACCAACGTGCCAGCGCGCCTAAAGATGGTGTTCGAACACGAGTCAGTCAATTTCGTCTGGGTCTATCAATCTACGCGGGGAAGACGAACCCAGCGTCGCGAGCAGCCAACGCGCCGGAGTCAGAGACTGATAGACCAAACGAGGCAGGACTAAGAGAAAATGCAAATGCGAACTTAACACCAAACGAGGCAGCACTAAAAGAAAATGCAAATGCGAACTTAACAGCACCCCAGTAGCTGTGAAATCAGTAGTTGTGCAGGCAGCGCCGCGTTGGGGACAGATCAGTAGTTTTCTACTGACCGATGGTATTTCCTCTTATGTCGGTCCGAGCTTCATAAGTGCATTCCGGACACGAACTGGCTTCATTCGCTGCGCGATCAGCTCCTGACAATTTTGCTCCTGCTGTCGTGATTATCCTGCCTTCCGTGGAGATCTCACGTCCGAAAACTGTTCACCCGTTTCCTACACGACCATTTTGTTCGTGATAGAGCAGGTAAGTTATTTTCCTCGCCAACCACAGCTCAGTTCGGATATGCGTCCTTGCATACTTTTGACTTGCACTTGAGGAGTTTGTACATGTACTTCATTGTGTGCCTGGTAGGATATGCGCATATAGTGCACGCGGTAGTGTTGGCTTCTGCTACTCATGCAGACTTGCCTGAGTCAAGTATTCCCATCCCATCCTTCTCCGCCAGAGCAAATGGGAGATGCGGAAGATGGACAGCTGAACGCCTTAGAGCGCTTGTATAGATTAGGACTCCGACTTCATCTTATAATTTTTTTCACGTAATGAAGAAGGTACAAGAAAGATCGAAGTGCTTCTTTGACCGCTTGACAATGGTGTGCTATCGCATGTGTACGACTTGCACTTTGCTTAACGTCTCATGGGTTCACTCAAGTCAAATACTTTCGATTGAATCAATGGAGCACTCGCGATGAGCTTTATGTGTTTTCTGCCTATTTTAAAAGGTCAATGGAGGAGCAGTCAGTATCGAAAGGGCATGCTGTTATACCGGACCCGGGT